CCTCCTGGTTGTGCAAGCCCTGTCACTCCTCAGGGATTAGGATTCCCTTCTGCTTCATCTCATGCTCAGTGGAGGAGAAATGAGCATATTCCAGCTGAGGTGAGGGTGAATTTACATGAGGTGTGCTTGGAGAGGAGCAGAGTTTTTCCTTGCTTAGACTTTCATCACACTGAGTAGAAGACTATGACAGTGTTATTTTCCTCTGCATATGTGCAAGCCCTGTCACTCCTCAGGGATTAGGATTCCCTTCTGCTTCATCTCATGCTCAGTGGAGGAGAAATGAGCATATTCCAGCTGAGGTGAGGGTGAATTTACATGAGGTGTGCTTGGAGAGGAGCAGAGTTTTTCCTTGCTTAGACTTTCATCACACTGAGTAGAAGACTATGACAGTGTTATTTTCCTCTGCATATGTTAATTTAGTATTTTTAAATTTATATGCTGCTTTTTTTTTTAAAGGATCGTATCTGTGTATCTGTAGGTACATTAATATTTATCTCTCTATTTTGTAGCTTCCACCATCATATGAGCAGGTGATAAAAGAAATCAATCAAGTGCAAGTCAATACAACAAATAACAATAATGCTGCTGCTCCCAGACATACCACTACTTCTGCAACACAAACTGACTTTCCAGAGGAACCAATCAGCCATTTGCCAGGAAGTAATGTAAAAAGTAGTGTGCCTACACACTGGGAATCTGCAGGCTGTCGAGGTGAGGCTGTTTTGGATTTCTCCTTGATGAAAAGCTTACTCTGTCTCCTGAAGATGTTCTTTATTATTTGTCTGTGCAGCACTTAATATGAATAACAGTAAAATTTCTGTGAATTATTAGTACTGTAAATTTCTGTAAAAATCCTTCCTCTGAAGAGCTTCCATTGCATTCAGACTGTAATTAATTAAATCTTGAGAGTTTTCTTTAATTCAGCCATAATGACAGTCATAGCTTTGGGGCCAGAGGAGCTCAGATGTCCAATCAAAGTAGCAGCACTGTCATACATTCAGACTGAAAAGTGTGCAGTCCAAGGTGGGGGAGTTACTGTACTCTTCTTTGGATGTTGTTAGCCTACCCCTCAATGCTGCAAGTTAACAAGTAATTTTGAGCTCACAACATGTAGATACCATGCATTTCAGCAATCTTCAGCTTATTCCTAGAGTTCATTTATTTTTTCATTCATCTCTTTAGAAAGAGAATTGCATTTTCACAAACACCAGTAAGTTCTGAATGCAAACCATCATTTTTATCGTCCTGATGGCTGTCAAAAAATAACATAAATAAAGTTTTCTGGAATAGAAACTGAAACTTTTTCTTTTCTGTTAGCAGGGCAGAGTCCTCTTAAACCTCCTAGGCCTTCTGCATCTCTCCTGAGTAAGACTTCTTCAGAAAATGGGAATCCCTTAATAGTCTTTGAAAATTCTGAAGGTCAGAGGTGCCAAGAAAATCCCAATGCTGTGATATATCCTGTGCCAAAGCCAAGATCAAGAAGCAATCTCAGACCTGTGGTCAAAAATCCTGAAAGTAAGATAGACAATGGAGAAGAAGTGAACCAGTCTACCACAAAAGGGCAGCAACCTACAATTCAGCAGTCACCTCTTTTAGATGACAGTTTACTAGACAATCACTTGGTGGTGGACAGCATGAGTACAGAAAAGAGCCAAAATAGTATTGTTTCAAGGATCAAAGTTTTTGAATCCCAAGGAACTAATGATACCTCAGGATTATCAAAAAAGCCAGAAATTGCCCCTCGTTCATTCGCCCCAAGATCTGTTACTACAAAGAAGCCAGTAGTTGCTCCAAAACCAGGGGTGAGCAGAATTTCAGAAGACTGGGATGCATGGACTGAAAGCAAATCAACACCTTCCAAGGAATTGCAGCCTCAACCTGAAGTAGCTGGGAGCAGTGTTGGAACCAAACCTGAACTGCCAAAGAAGCCCAAACCTGGCCTTGTTAAAAGTAGCAGTAGTGATTTTCTTGATACAAGGAGTGGATCAGTTGCAGAAAACAGCAATGGACAAAAGAGATTTCCTGTTCCTGCTCCAAGGCCTCTCATTCCTAAAAAGTCCTGTTACACTGAAAATCCTGCCCTTTCTTTGGCCTCACTGAAACCGATTGCTGCTCCTCCACACGCTTCTGTATCTGCCCAAGAAAAGGTTTTAAAGTCTCTGGAGGAATTGTCCCCTGCAGCCAATGCCTCAGCACCTGCTTTGCAAAATAAACAAGATGTGGAAGGAGATCTGATCAGTTTTGATGATGACGTTTTGCCCCTGAGTCCAGTTTATGTAGTTAAAGATAGCATCAGTGCTGAAGCAGCAGCAGGTAAGATGAAATTTTTTTAAACTGTCACTGTGGTTACTCTTTGCAGGTGTATGATCCTGTGTGAGTTATGTCTACCTGTCTTGAAGGGGTTTATGTGTGTGGATGAAACTTATGGCTCTCTATTATGTCAACATCACTATGAAATTACTTGGGTTTGAGACTCTGGAGGTTTCAAGGCTATATAAATCTCAGAACTTGTCTGCTGGATTTATTATGTGATTACTAAAATAATGATAAAAGACTTGATGTTAGATGCTAGATGTCACCTCCAGAATGTATCACAGTTCTCTCTGGGGAACCTGGGACTTTTTATCTCTTGACATCTAATCTGACTAATTTATTTGAGTGCCTGAAGTTCTGTAGTGGAAACCTAGTCATCTGGAGAAGCAGCAGTGTTTGTGGCATTTAGGGAAACTCGTGGTCAGACACACCGGGGTACTCTGTCCATCTCACCAGTGCCTACTTATTTTCTCTGCCCTTTCTGTTTTGTCTGTCACATGACTCTGTGCTTGTTACACAAGTTCAGTATTTTTTCTAATAAGTGAAAATAATTATTTCATATGGACAGATCAATTAGTACAACTACATCCCTTTCATTAACCTTGTTTGATACAATTAAGCACTTGGGGTCAATTTTTTAAATGCTGATTTAGGTAGTTTAAGACACAGGTGGGTGTTGGGTTATCATTAAATTAAAGCAAAAGGTTTTGCTCTCCTAATATTTGAATATGTCCTGATTTAGCTTACCAGCCCCATTGCAATCCAGGAAGAGTTAGTTCTGTTTTAAAGCAGAGAGTGTGTTATACAGAATGCTTGTTTAAGGAACTAGCTATGATTTGTAATCTTTTTCTTTTTATTTAACCTCATCTATTGGTTTTGCATGCCAAGGTTTTGGTAGTGCGAGGGCTACATGGGTGGCTTTTCTGAGAAACTGCCAGAAGTTTCTCATGTCTGGCAGATGAAATGTCAGCTGGCTCCAAGATGGACCCACTGCTGGCCAAGGCCGAGCCCATCAGCAATTAGTGGTAGTGCCTCTGGGTTAACATAATTAAGAAGGGGGAAAAGTTACTGTGCAGGAGCAATTGCAGCCAGGGAAGAGAGGGGTGAGATGCAGACACCCAGGTCAGGGCAAGAGTCAGGGAGGAGGTGTTCCTGGTGTGCATCATGGTGGTGAAGACCATGGTGAGGCAGGCTGTGCCCCTGCAGCCCACGGAGCTGCACAGGGGAGCAGAGAACCACCTGCAGTCTGTGGAGGACCCATGCCAGAGCAGACTGATGCCCAAAAGGAGGTTGTGGTCCCGTGGGCAACCCATGCTGGAGCAGGCTACTGGCAGGACCTGTGGCCCCATAGGTAGAGGAAAGCCCATGGCAGCCTGTGCCCCTGCAGCCCACGGAGCTGCACAGGGGAGCAGAGAACCACCTGCAGTCTGTGGAGGACCCATGCCAGAGCAGACTGATGCCCAAAAGGAGGTTGTGGTCCCGTGGGCAACCCATGCTGGAGCAGGCTACTGGCAGGACCTGTGGCCCCATAGGTAGAGGAGTCCATACTGGAGTAGGTTTGCTGGCAAGACCTGTGACCCCACATAGGACACACGCTGGAGCAGCCTGTTCCTTAAGGACAGCGTCCCATAGAAGGGACCCACACTGGAGCAGTTCGTGAGGAACGCAGCCCATGGGAAGGACTCATATTGGAAAAGTTCCCTCTCCTGTGGGAGGCACCCCACGCTGGAGCAGGGGAAGAATGTGAGTCCTCCCTCTGAGGAGAGAGGAGTGGCAGAGACAATGTGTGATGAACTGACCTCAGTCCCTTTGCCATCCCCCTGTGCCGCTTCGGGGAGGAGGGTAGTGAAAATCACATGTGAAGTTGAGACTGGGAAGAAGGGAGTGATGGGGAAAGGTGTTTTTAAGATTTGGGTTTATTTCTCATTATCCTACTCTGATTGGATGGGTAATAAATTCAAGTAATTTTTCCCCAAGTCAAGTCTGTTTTCCCCATGATGGCAGTTGGTGAATGATGTCGCCCTGCTCTTATCACAACCCATGAGCATTTCATTCTATTTTCTCTCCCTGTTCAGTTGAGAAGTGAATTGGTAGAGTGGCTTTGATGGGCATCAGGCATCCAGCCAGGGTCTACCCACCACACCTCATGTATCACTGAACATCTTAACTTCGGGAAAAGAGAAACATAAATTCTGTGTAGCTATCACAGTAAATCAGTATTAATGATTGTTAACAAATGCAGTTTCTTCACAGTTTGTGGATTATATTGTTAGATGAAGTTTGGATTTGTTATTGTTTCCCCTCTGTATTGGCATAAAAGCCCCAAGGCAGATATAGAAAGTCCCTTAAGGTCCTAAACTGTTAAGATCAGTATGTACAGACATACAGTTCTTGGGGGAGCTTATGAAAGCAGTGAAGTAAGGCAACAGAAAATCCTGCAGGAGACGTGATTAGCTAAAGATGGATACAAGTCCATTTTTTCTTGGACTGACAGGTTGCAGGAACACTGCAGAAGCATTACCAAGCCTGGAAGGAGGCAGGAGTACAGGGTGACTGGAGAGGTATTTCATACTTATAGCAAGGAAGTCTATGAGTGACAGTGTCTAGGTGGGAACAGAGTCATGATCACTGTGTCTGGAGACTGGAGTCATGCAGTAGACACGGTACATGTGAATAGATTTTGAAGAAAGAAGCATGAGGAATAACTCTTGTTTTTCATGCATTTAGGGTAAAACTTGTAGTTTCGGTCACTTTATTTTCATTGAACAAATCAAATGCAACAAATCAGATGCAACGAATAGAAGGAAAATGTACTTGTTCTAAGTAGCAAGCAAGAAAAGATAATATTTAAATTTGAAAGTGCATAAAAAGGAAAATGATGTTTTAGCTATGTACACTAAAAGAAAGACTTTCCCCAACATGAAAAAATTCTTCCATTGTTATCAGAGGTTGAGTGATCACAAATAAAAATAGTCTGAAAAAACCTAGCTTTCATGATGAAGTGGTAAGAATGTCATT